AAGCTGCTTGTACCTCTATAAATATGGCCTCTAAGCATCTCTACATCTCCACACAGCTGCCCTGCCATTCCGTACTGATCTATTTGCATCTTGACACACCTTTGCCTTTCACATTTCCTCCTCTGGTACATCGTAGCCTTCCTTGACGCCCTCCTCTGGTACGTATACATTTTCCTCCTCTTGATGCTCCAACACTTTTTTATTTGAGGGGGCTCTTTGCAACACTTGTGTGTAGTTTTTTTTCTCCTTTTTGAGGGAGCATGTACAAATTTTCTGGCAAAGAGTATTTTGTTTTCATAATCTAGAGCCACCTTTTCCTTGGAGAAGATAATCGATAGAAACTAGTTTTTCTTTGTTTTTCTAGGGAACTAGTTTTTCTTTGTGAGAAATAATTCTAGATAAACGAGGCGGCCCTGTATCAAACGAGGAGACCCGGTCTGATTGTGATTGTGTATGGGCTTGGGATGATCCCTCGTTTTCCTTGCGAGGGCCCATCCCAAATCTGCTCGTCCTCTAGGGTGAACGGCGGAATCGGCGGCGGCGGCGGTGAGAAGCTCCCGCACCGCGGTGCCGTCCCCTCGTTCATTTTCCATCTAGAGTATTTTTTTCCAGTATGAGTAGCTGTGACGAATACTCTATCTATAAGTATTTACGGATAAACTATCTAACCTTGATTGCTCTGACGCAGGGAGGGCCACAGTCAAGCGGTCGATGGAGGCGGCCGGAATCCGCGCGGCGGCATGGGTGGTGGGCAAGGCGCTGAGCCCACTGTCCGATGGCGTGCTGGAGTCGTGGGTTGCGAGCAACATGCTCGGGTCTAACATCGAGGCTCTGAAGATGGAATTGTTGCGCGCACAAGCCGTGCTGAACATTGCCGGGGGCAGGGAGATCCAAAACCCTGCCCTGGCTGAGATGCTGGACAAGCTGCGGGAGCTGGCCTACGGCGCCGACGACGTGCTGGACGAGATCGACTACTTCCGCATCCAGGATGAGCTCGACGGCACCCACCATGCCGCCGACGAGCATCCCGCCGGCTGCGTCCGCAACCTCGCCCAGAACGCTGGCCACACGGCCAAAGCGTGTGCGAACAAACTCAAGTGCTCGCGTGCTGCGAGTCGCGAAGATAATGACAAGAGCGGCAAACAAGGATGCCTCTCGGGCCTCCGCTTTTGTGGAGGTCAGCGCGAGATCGGATCATCATCAAGGTCAACCACTAACAAAGTCGGTAAACACTTCTCCTGCTTCTCTTCGTCACCATCTGTCGACCATGATGATCAAACCAACATGACTCTAGATGACCCCTTACAAACACCAAAATTGACGTTTGATAGGGTGGAAATGTCTAGAAAGATATTGGACGTCACAGAGCAGCTCAAGCCGGTGTGTGCTAATGTCCATGACATTCTTAGTCTAGAGCCACAGAACTCTAGCGGCATCACTACCAAAAACATTGCAATGAGCAGACCCATGTCCACCCCGCTAATTATAGAGCCTAAGTTATATGGAAGGGATAGCCATCAGAAGATTATTGTAGATGAAATTGTTAACAGTGAGTGTCGTGGACTTACTGTGCTTCCAATTGTTGGCCCCGGGGGTATCGGGAAGACAACTTTCACCCAGCATATATATGAGCAAATGAAGAGCCATTTCCAGGTATCCATTTGGATATGTGTCTCTCTCGATTTTAATGCAAATAGGTTGACAAAGGAAATTGTGGAGAAAATCCCCCCGGTTGGAAATGAAAAGGAAAATTGTAGTGATCAAGAGCTCATCGAACAAAGGTTAAAAGGAAAGCGGGTTTTACTTATCTTAGATGATGTGTGGACACATAGTGAGGATGAGTGGAAAAAAGTAATGGCTTTGTTTAAAAAAGAGGGGGCAAAAGGTAACATGGTCATAGTTACGACTCGAATACCCGAGGTAGCAAACACGGTTAAGACTAAATGCTCACTAGAATTGGAGCGTCTATGCACAATAGATATTATGTCTTTCTTCCAAGAGTGTGTATTTGGTGACCAAACTCCATGGGTTGACCATCCAGAACTACGTGACGTTGGGAGGAAAATAGTGGACAAGTTGAAGGGTTCCCCTCTTGCAGCCAGAACTGTTGGTAGATTACTAAGAAACATACTTACGTTTAACCACTGGACAAGCGTTCTGGAAAATAAAGAATGGGAATCAGAAAAGCACGATAATGATATTATGCCAGCTCTAAAGCTCAGCTATGCTTATCTTCCTTTCCATCTACAACGATGTTTTTCTTTTTGTGTTTTGTTTCCTGAAGATTATGAGTTTGGTAGTGAGGAATTGGTTCACTTGTGGACCGGACTAGAAATTTTGCATTCATGTGATCAGAACAAAAGAAGACTTCAAGATGTGGGACTGTGCTATTTAAACGACTTGGTCAATCATGGTTTTTTCAAAATGAATAAAATGAAAAACGGAAGTCCTTCTTATGTTATTCATGACCTACTGCACGATTTGGCAGTGAAGGTTTCGTCGTATGAGTGTCTATGCATCTATAGCTCTAATGCGAGGGACATAGAAATTCCCCCATCCATACGTCACTTGTCTATCATCGTAGATAACACAGATGTCGAGGATAGGGTGTCCTTTGAAGACTACAATGGCAATCTGAGTGCACTTGGTGAAAGATTGAAAGTTCAAAACCTGCACACCTTAATGTTATTTGGAGATTACCATGGAAGCTTTGCTAAAACTTTTGGTCGTTTGTTTAGGGAAGCTAGAGCACTTCGTGTAATTTTTTTGTCCAACATGTCATATAACTTGGAGAATATATTGCACAACTTTTCGAAACTTATCCATCTTCGCTACCTAAGGATCAAGTTATTGCATTCGTACTATAGTTTTTTTTTTATTAAGTTCGGCCTTTAGATTGTATCATTTAGAGGTGATTAATATACAAAGTGCGTATTGTCAATGTAGTTCAACAAGACATATTAGCAACCTTGTAAAATTGCGTCATTTTGTTGTCTCAGAACAAGGGCTTACACTTCATTCTGATATTCATGCGGTTGGAAAACTGAAATTCCTCCAGGAATTAAGGGAGTTCAGAGTGGGAAAGGAGAGTGAGGGTTTTGAGCTGAGTCAGCTCGGGCCAATGAAAGAGATTGGAGGATCACTTGGCATTTATAATCTTGAAAATGTGCAAACGAAAGAGGAAGCAAAAGAAGCAAAATTGTTACACAAGAACTGTTTGAGAGAACTCATATTAGAATGGGATATTAAGCGATCCAATAAGGATCCTGTGAAAGAACAAAATGTGCTTGCAAGTCTTGTAGCACACAATAATCTTCAAGGGTTGTGCATTAGAGGGCATCGGGGCACTAGCTGCCCAGCATGGCTATGTGAGAATCTCTCGGTAGAATGTTTGGAATCTCTTTGTCTAGATGGCATATCCTGGAAAAACCTTCCACCTCTAGGCGAGATATGGATGGCTAATGAGCTTGGAGGAGAGTATCAGGGTTGTAGTATTTCATCTCCAACCTTTCATAATTTGAAAAGTCTAAAATTAAGTAACATATCTAGGTTGAAGAAATGGGTCGGAAGTGGCACTTGTCCTTTGTTTTCTCACTTGGAAGTGCTCAGAATTGTAGATTGCCGTGAACTCATTGAGTTGCCGTTTTCACATCCTCCTACTTGCTGTCAAGCACAGCGGGAGGAGAAAATAAGCTGGTTTCCTAAACTATGGAAGCTTGTCATTATAGACTGCCCGAAACTAGTGTCATTCCCTCCTATCCCTTGGCGGACTGGTGCTCCATGCTCTGCTTACATAGCGAGAGTTGGATTGTGTTCTGAGGAGCTGATGTACCCGAGTCATTTTTCCGAAAAGGAGATGTACCCGAGTCATTTTTTCAAAAAGGAGATGTACCCGAGTCATGAATTGGAATTAATTCTCAAGATTAAGGGAAGAGGTGGGCAGGGTGATGTGTTTTGGAGTGGGTTGAATTTCTCTAATCTAACTGATCTAGAAGAGTTGTGTATGGAAAAAATCCCTTTCCTGCCATTGGAACACCTCCGGGCGCTAACATCTCTGAGGAAGATCCTGATAGATGGTGTGAGCAGTTTCCTGTGGCCGGTTGAAGGTGCCAATGATGGCATATACAGGCTTCCAGTTGAAGACCTCGTGATTAGGAGGTGTAATGTTAGTGAGAAAGAATTGACACGCCTGCTGTCTTTCCTTCCCAACCTCTCAAAATTGAGAATATGTAGCTGTGAGAATATAACCGGGTTGGGTGTGGCGGAGGGTGCAGAAACTGTTTCTGAAGAGCAGCAGGAGCAAGAGACAAGCGTCGGGGAGGAGGAAATAATATCAGCAGCGACAGAGGAAGGCCTGCTGCTCTTGCCTCCCCACCTACAGCGGTTGTATATCTCATCTTGCCGAAACCTGAGCTTACGCTCCAATCCAGAAGACGGGGAAGAAGGAAGTGGAGGGGGGCTCCAGCGTCTCCGCTCCCTCCGTGTGTTGGAGGTATGGTCTTGCCCCGAGTTCCTCTCCTGCTATTCGTCTTCCTCTGTTTTCCCTTTCCCGAATTGCCTGCAACACCTCACCCTAGGTGGCGCCAAGTACATGGAAACACTCCAAGCCCTCTCAAACCTCATATATCTCACGGAGTGCGAGCTATTCTTTGAATTGAGGGGTTTAGATGGTTTGTGTCCTCTCCTCAGCCACGGCCGCCTCACAAAATTACAAATCGATCCTCACTCCACTCGAATGTGTCCCTCGGCCCTGACTCCATTTTCCACCAACCCTCTTGATGTGTGGACGGGGAGCACCACAGGATTCCTTGCTGCCCCCATCTGCAGCCTCCTCTCTTCCACCCTCACGAAATTCGAGCTCAGTTTGGAAAAGGAGATGAAGTGCTTCACAAAGGAGCAAGAGGAGGCCCTCCAGCTCCTCACCTCCCTCCAGGAGCTGCATTTTTCAGCCTCCCAAAAACACTGGCCCTACCTCTCGAAGCTGCAGTGTCTCCCTGCAGGGCTAGACAAGCTTATCAACCTCAAGAGACTAACGATCTATAGGTGTTCATCCATCCGGTCGCTGCCCAGCCTTCCGAGCTCTCTGCAGAAATTAGTGATTTACGACTGTTATGCAATCCAGTCGCTGCCAAACAGCCTCCCGAGTTCTCTGGAAATATTGAGCATCTTCCGCTGTAAAGCCATCAAGTCGCTGCCAGACAGCCTCCCGAGTTCTTTGGAAATATTGAGCATCTCTAGCTGTAAAGCCATCAAGTCGCTGCCAGACAGCCTCCCGAGTTCTCTGAAAACACTGAAGATCTCTAGCTGTGATGCCATCAAGTCGCTGCCAGACAGCCTCCTGAGTTCAATGCTAGAGTTAGATGTCAGTAGTTCGAGCAACAGCAAGGAGCTAAAAATGGCGTGCCGCAAGCTAAAAGGAACCATTCCGATAGTCAAAGCCTGACCAATTAATTCAAGGTATGCAACGAGCTAACACTTCCTTTTCTGTATATATACTCGGCTACTTATTCCCAGTTCCTTCCCCTGCCTTTTTGATTCCTAACTTCGTAAGCGTCAAATTGATTCTCTTATTTGTTTTGTTTGGTTAATCGCGCTTGTTTTCATCTTAATAGCTCACTTGTTTTACTTTACTGTGCAGTCTTCTCCTTCGATTTGTATATTCTTCTAGCCTCCTCGAATACTCTCTCAATCCAAGCACCGTTTCTGGTGCCAGTGGCAAGCATGACGTTCTCAATTTGTATCTTCCATCCTGCAGTACAAACAACTGGTTAGTACATGCATCCCTTTAATTAATCAACCACTGCCATGATATTGTTTTTAACACCTGCAGCAGCTTTCCCTTCACATGCTGATTTTTGAAGGAAAATTCGTGAGTTCAACCAGTACTGTGATTATTCCTTTTTGGCAGATACATGTGTAATTAACTCATATATAGTAAATAAAATTCGTGAGTATTATAATTCAGTTTGAACACTATTTGAATCCATCCATAATTACCACCACTGTTTCCTCAGTTCGGTTTATGTTACAAAAAAAGTTCACACATCAGTTCAAAAAAAAAAATCTTGTTTGGTT